TTGGGTGGCCCTGCACAGTATAGCTCATGGCCTCACTGAGTTAGGCAAGCCCCTTCGCCACGACAAGGCAGTGATCCATGAAGGGGAGACATTTTTAGAATCCTCAAATGCATACCTACTGGGAATCAAATTTGGTAATTTTTGTTCCAGTTAGAGTGACTGTGTGCTATCAGATACACCAGTAAGAAATTTGTTCAAATTAGTGGTTGACTGAATTAAGCATATTATGGGAATATATCACACCCACACACATTCACAGACACAGGCATATGCAGACACACACACACACATACACAGAGGTAGTGTATCTATACTACAAAATCTAAAAATCCACTAGATGATAGCAAGACAATCTCTGAACCTCCTTGTTATCATCTACTGGTTGTCAGTATTTTGCAGCCCAGATATAGTAGTGTGAAAGAGAGGGAGAGGGAGAGGGAGAGGGAGAGGGAGAGAGAGAGAGAGAGAGAGAGAGAGAGAGAGAGATCTTGATATTCCACTTCATTTTCTCACATTTAATTTAATGATTGTCTTTTACTTTGAAGGCATCAGAAGATAATATTATTTTTGCAGTGGCTGCAAAACCTACCTCAGCTTTTGATACTATCCTGGGTGTAACTGATGAAATAGGCCACCAGAAGATTTTATAGCATAAAAGCTATGCAATACAATATCACCCATGCAATGCATATTTTTTTATACTCACAGACACTTTGTCAGTAAAATATGGTTACATTATGCTAACTTTTTCTTTACATCTTCAAAAGCTTAGTACCATCAACTCAATATAAGATGAGTGGGAAAAGATAGTGTTTATGTGTTTCCTTTGGGGACAGATTTTTTTGCCCAGTATATTTTTCTAAGATTTTTTTTTAAAGAACACAGACATACTTAATAGAACTGACATGGCAGAGAGATTTGCACCTTTAAAAAAATAAATTGCAAAGCAATCTCTTGTTTTTATTTAACAGTTTTAAAAAGCCTGTCAGAATGAACTTTGGCAATCAGCGTCTTCCTTTCTCCAGCACTTCCTGCACTGACTATGTGGACAGAAAAATGTACATGATTGCATGACCATTCAGGAAGTGTTGAAGAAAAGGTCTCCAATTTGCAAATAGCTCAGCCCTACTATAAGTACTGGGTCTTTTAAAAATTAAAAGAAGATGAAATAAACTTCTTAGCCACCTTCTACTTTTTAGATAGTTAAGGATACCAATTTTCTACTGCAGATTTTGTTTTCTTATGGAAGAACAATGTTAGTTGGAATTGTCCTGCTGAAGGTTATCTGAACATGAACCCATTTATTTCCCACATTTATTTCCATCAGAACACATTGTAGAATTCTTTTTAATCCCTAATAGCTGTTGGAGATAACTAAGTCTTCAAGACCTGGGATGCTGAAGAAGATCACAAGAAGCTGTCTTCTTCCTGATAACACTTTGCTTCTTCTTCAGAGGCCCATCTTCTATGTGCAGAATGAAACATAGCAAAGGACTCTAAAATCAATACCCTACTCAACCAATAAATTTAAACTATGGTCTTATTTGGAAATGTTGGCAAGGAACCCAATGCATCAACAAGCCCTTTGTATTCTTTGTATCACAATGAGTAAAGAACATTTTAGGTTATAATGCTTGTATTTGAGTGTCATGAATGCAAGCTATAGTTTTAAACTTTTATGCTCCACCACTTCATGTCACTGCAATAGCTGAAATATCTGATACTGTACTCAATCTATCAAGAAGCATCTCGACATAATCTTTTAGACAGAAGCAGAAAAGTCATGGAGCTTAAAGACATTCTGTCCAGTTAAGATGAAACAATAGCAAAAGGGGAGGAAGGAGCTAGAAACAAATAGGGATTTCATTTGGGGGGAAAAAAAATCATATTTTGCATTTAAATATTCATCATCATTAAGCACCATCCTATATTAATTTTGACTTTTATATATACATTAATAGCAGTGATATGTGTATCTTCATAGATCAGGAAGTGAACTTGTTGGTTGTCTAGGAAAATAAATGGCTACATATATGCAGAGAACCTGAAAAAGAACCATTGGTGCTGATTAACACCCTGTGCTAATCTAAATGATTTAGCACTGAGATTAAGGGTTAGCAGCTGTAGGACTAAACTGAAATATTTTAAGTTTAAACAAATACGTTTTTTTCAAAAGAATGTAAGTAATAACTTACGCTCTCCATGCCACGTCTTTAACAAGGCACGCTGTGGGCACTAGCAATAAACCTATCCAGAAGTGTCCGCATCTCAATACCATTCCCGCCTGTAAAAATGCAGTAATAATATAGCATTAATTATACATGACAGTTTTTTGGTTGACTGAAATGAAACAGTAAGATGAGATTGTTGTTAAGAAAGCTATAACCTAAATTGTGAAATCTGAAGATGTTTCTCAATCAGATTTCTTAGGAGTGTCCCTCCCAAGGATGGAGAAACAAGTGTGCCCCTGAAGGGACAAATCTAAGATCAACATTTGCATGCAGCAGTGCAACCCCACTATCTGAATTTTGATACTGAAAGGCATGAAAGGAACATTTTCTAGAGGCATTCTAGATAAGAATAGCTCTCCTGTGTGCTTTACAGAAGGAAGGAAAGGCCTAGTGGTGATCCCAATACGCCTTTGTATAAGGAGATTTCTCTGCCTTCAGGTGTTCCCATCCTTAATTCAGTAGACCTTCAGGACAGCTTATGGTAATTACAAATAGTAAAATGGCTGATGATAGCACATAAGCTGTTCTCACAATATCACATTATTCTTATCACTATAAATGTTATCTCATAAAGATAATATGTTTCTTGGGATTGTTCAGTGACAGAACAGCTCTGTATATTATAAACTTATATTTTAGAAGAAAAATCGCAGTTATGCTTGGTTACAGCAGAGAAGTCCATTTACATCACTTGAGGCTCTTTCTCCAGCAAACTGTCCATTTTTCTGGCCTCCCAAGTATATTGCATTGTTAACTCTGCTAACTAAACAGACAGCTGCAGAACCTAGAGTTGATATGGTGGAACATATGTTGGATAAATCAGTATAGATTTTAAATAGATCTCTGGATTGCTGAGAGACTGATGTGTCTTATACCAGCCTTCCCCAGGCTAATGTATTCCAGATGTCTGGACTCTTTTTGGCATAAAATTAGTGTAGTTTAATACATCTAGAGAACACCAGTTTGGGGAAGACTCATATTAGAATATGACAGTTTTATTTGGAAGTTTTGCTGGGGGTCATTTTACAATTCAAGTATGTTTAGCCTCAAAACTGTCATCGGACCACAAGAATTACAGACAAGTAATTTTCAATATATTTCTCAGTTTCCTGACGCTTAATTCTTTACCCTGTTGCTAGAATGGCAGAGATGTGGCAAATTCTTTAGCACAAGTAAACATGCTAAGATATTTAGAGAAACTCTGGAACACACTACACAAATAAGAAGTAAACATTCTAAAAATAGAATCATTTTCAATATATTGGATTCTGCCACTTAAATTCAGCCTCATTCAAAGTACATGTTCTCCTAGCTAATCAGTAAAACTAGCTATTGCTCAATAAAATACATAGAAAGAACATAAAAGGGTTAGGATGAGTTATATACTTTTCTTTCCTTGCTATTTAATGAATACATTTCATTGTTTTTAAATAATGTTACTGTGTTTAATATCTTTGTAATCCACCAGAGAATTTTATTTATATTAATAATATATATTTCAAGTAAAATAACAAACTGTTGTCCACACCCATCAAAGACAAATGTGAAATAATTCCATATTTACATATCAAATTGGTGTCATAGGAATCAATGTAAAATAAATAAGTAAATATTCATAATTTACTGAAGGAAGCCAAATGTCTGTATATAATACCAACAAGCAAGTAATTAACCATATAATTTCCCACCTCCCAAAGCTGTTATTTAAATCCTTCTACTGTATATGCATACATCTGTGCAAACATTGCACACATATAGATTGGCATGGTTGGTGAGAACATGTGGCATATAGACAGAGATATATCACAAGGGTAACCTTTAAATTTTGTCTCTGTAATGGGCTGCTTTTCAGAGATTTGTCAGGTAGTAGGAAAGTCATCCTTTTCTTCAGAGTCATAGGCATAGATGACCTTCTGCCATACATTTGGAATATTCTGAAGTTTCTTTACACTCAGACTCATTGTCTGCAACAAAGATGGGCAGAATGGTGCCTTTGAGAGACTTTGTCTCCAACTCCCATCAGTCCTACTTAATAGGCAGGGCAAGGGATGGTGGAGTTATAGTCCAAACAATCTGGAAAGTACCTGACCGCATCTGTCGGTACTTTAAGACATAGGAGTTGAGGCCTTAAGACTTCTGAAGATACTTCAGATTGAACTGGGGGCATTTTATCATTAAAGAGGGGGCTCATTACTGAATTACAGCCATTCCTTGGAAACATGAATCAAGGCTTTTGCCAATTCACTAGAATGCCACCACTCTCACCCATGTGATCCAATTATTGCTTATTTGCAGCAAGTGAACCATATCATATTTTCTACTCAGAGAATAAAGGGTATAGCCCTGTACCTGTACCTACAAGACAAAGACATAAGGACAAGTACCAGTTGGTTTCTAAGATGCCAATTTCAGCACAATGTTTCTCATTTACAGAAGAATATTAATGCAAACTGCTGACTTAGAAGACACACTATTACTACACATTTTTTTCTAATGTGATGCTACACTGGAATGTACCTTTCTCGTTAATCATCAAACTCTATTCTGCTGCCAGGGTTTCAGTGGAGGTCTTTTCTGGCCCTAACTGGAAAACTCATGGATTGAAGCTGAAATCTCTGGCATACAGAGCAGGTGCTCTATCACTGAGTTACAGCCCTTTCACATATTCTATCCCTTTGAATCCTTGCTCATTTTTGCTCTAATCACTGTTACACAAACACATCTTTTAAACATTCTTTTCCACCATAAAAATAGCAAAAATGTAGGTACATCTCCTATATCATTTTTTTAAATGGCTCCCCAATCCATCCTATGCTTTTCCACTTCCACTTGTAAAGTTAATCATATATATTTTATAAGGGGAAATATCATAACAAGGGACTTGAAAGAGGATCAAATACCTTGAAAAGATACTTTACTACAAACATTTGTAGCAGCCTGTTTTTTTTTAAATATCAAAAACAAAAAAATACAAAAGACACTATCAGATCTTAACCAAAGATACATTTATAAGATCACTGAAGGCAAGTGGCTTCATAGAACCATTTGTCTACAAGCATGCTAGGAAAAAATTGAGAAGTCCTGGGAAGCACATTGCCAAATCTAGAACAAGGATGTATCATTTCTTAGTAACCAATATAAGAGAATATATGTAGCTCAGTGATGAACTGTGGAGTCCTTGGTGCTTTCTGAGCTTGGTTGTTTGCTTGCAGACGTTTCATTACCCAACTAGGTAACATCATCAGTGTGAGTGAGTGTGGGGTTTGCTCACTTGGTTGTTTGCTTGCAGACGTTTCATTACCCAACTAGGTAACATCATCAGTGTGAGTGAGTGTGGGGTTTGCTCACTTGGTTGTTTGCTTGCAGACGTTTCATTACCCAACTAGGTAACATCATCAGTGTGAGTGAGTGTGGGGTTTGCTCACTGTTTATATACAGTAGCTTGCTCTGTCAGTATTGGTAGGGGTGTGGTTTTCTTCTTGGTAGTTCCTTGATTAGGGTATTGTTTTCTGCTTAATTATTTGTCTGGTGTTAATTCCTGCTTATCTGGGTGATGATTGCTGGTGAGGAGATGTTCTGGTCTTTTGTTTTCCTTTCTATTGTCTCTTTTGGATAGTGTGTAGATGTTGTTTGTCTCTATGTGCCTTTCGATGGCTGCCTTGTCTGAATACCAAGCTTCCAGGAATCCCCCCACATTTTTGGATTTAGCTTAGTCTAAGATGCTCACAGTTTCCCAGTTCAAACTATGGTTGAACCTGTCCATGTGTTCTGAGAGTAAGGATTTTTCATCTTGTCTTCTGACTGCTAGTTGGTGTTCATGGATGCTAGTCTTCTGCCCGTCTTTCCTACATAGTGGCTGTTACAGTCCTTATGCTGTACGTTGTAGATGACTCCAGTTCTTTCTTCTTGGGCTACTGGTCTTTTGGTTTACTTAAGATATTTTGAAGGGCTTTAGTTGGTTTGTGTGCTATGATGATGCCATGTGGTTGTAATTGTTGGCTGTTTCTGAGATGTTTTTGATGTATGGCAGTGTTATCCTTTTCGTAGCTTGTGTTGGCTGTGCTGTAGTGGGTTGAGTGGTCAGCCACATTTTGTTGGAAGATATTGTGTAGGCAGTCTGTTTCCTTTTTCTGGTGTTCTGGGTTGCTGCAGTGCATTTCAACTCATCTGAATAATGTTCTTACACAGCTCTTCTTGTGGGCAGTTGGGTTGTTACTTTGGTAATGGAGCACTTGGTTAGCGTGGGTTGTTTTTTTGATAGACTTGTGTTTCTAACTTGAAGAACCTTTAAAAAGTGGTTCTTTATCAAGCTTTAGATAATAGATACAGCTGTCAGATCATTATGCTTAGGTTCTGAGTACCTCCTGAAGGAAATACAGGTAAGTTTTTCTTGTACAGCAGAGAAGTCAGTCACCTTGCTCTTCCATGCTCCCTGACATCTTGCTTAGTTTGACTAATGCACCCTTCAGATTGCTGCATGTATACTCAGTCTCATCAAGAGATATTACATTCCACTGTATACTGGACTTAAAGTAATCTAATCCAGTTGCCTAAATTTGCCCATACATCAGTAAGAATTCTTCTGTCCTTGAAAACCTCTCAGATGTTAGGCCAAGGAGGCTACATTTCAGGATGTAAGAAACAATTGTGGCTCTCAGTAATCAATAACTGCAGGCCTTGGTAGGAAAGAAGAGGAGGAAGAAATCTGATAGCTTTACTATGTATGTTTTCCTTCTAATTAACATTGCAAGGAAAAACATTGGGTTGGAGTATTTAATAGAGGTTGTACTGCAACATGTTCTCTAGAACTCCACACTGGAGGTCCAACAAACCCTACTTGTATCTTTGCAATTAATTACTTCCGCAAGGACATAGGTCCAAAGCCTTTCTGAGGCCTTCTTCATAATCCCCAACATCTGTTCCATCTCCAGTCCAGGCCAACTGTGGGGATCTGCTGTCAGCATTAGCACAGATGAGTAAATATATAAACGCCTATGTCAGACAGCCCTGTGATTTCAGCTGAGAATCCTGGACAAAAAGCAAGTTTCTCATT